TTCCTTTTATACCAAATGTTCTTTGAGTACGGCCATTATTATTTTTGAGTCAACAGACTAAAGTATCAGATAAGATAGCTAAAAATAAAGAATGAATTCGTTTTGTAGCAAAGAGAACTTTTTAATAAATACGTGTACATAAAAAGCATTTGAAATGACAGCAGAAAGATGTTTTTGGAATATGTGAATGTTGTTCCCACAATCTAGTTCAAGCATCTGAAAAGGTTTAGGAAATCTGCTACTGGGTAATAGCATAAGCAAGTAGGCTCTAAAATGTTAAGTGAAGAAAGAGAAATGAATAGAGCAGAACATCCATGTTATAAATGCAAAGAAATGCCACCTTGGAAGTTGCACATTATGCTAAGGGAAGAGCAGTCAGATGTAGTTCCTCTCAAAGACTACAAGCTTTAAACTGGGTGTGGTGGTCCTGAGGGAGAAAACAAGAAACAAAAGGAACCAACCAAAAAAGGTATGGGGGGAGGTGTGGGGCAAATGAGAAAGGGTGGAACAAAACCCACACCAAATCCCCTCAGCCATGTGGGACAGAGGAAGCCAGGCGGACAAGCTGGCATGAGATCCTATGGCCCAGCTCTCCAGCCTGCAGCTGGATTCCAGATGGTGACCACCTCCTACCTTTTTGGTCAGCAGGGTGAGGGGGCACATGTGGGTACTTGGAGGGCTTCTTGATATGGAAGTTCACGTTGTCCAGCTCCACGTTCAGGCTGATAGAAGCGGCTGAGTCACTGTCCACTGTGGACTGGAAACTGCTGACTGATGTGCGCTTGCTAGGACTGGCAGAATCTTTTAGTGTTGGGGAGGGGAAAGAAATATAGGGAGAGGAGGGGGAGTAAAAAATGGGTTTCATCAGGGTATTGGAGGAAAGGAGAAAAATGCTTTTTTAATATACAAGCCCAATGTGCAATACCAAAATGGATACAGTATTTTCATGTGCTTCTGTGTGGACTTAATAAAATTTGATCAAGGTAAATGTAAAAGGTATTTTTAAAAATGGAAAATTATATTGGAGGTTCTGCAGAGAGAAAGTCTGATATCATAGTGAAGAGGTGAGAAAGTTGTCTGCTGTGATATTATTAGCTCAGAGTTATTTTAAGCTGCTGCAAACTACAAACTATGGCAACATCTGAAAACACCAGTAGCCTAACAAGTTGGTTTCTTAAGAAAATACTGTATCTAGGATGAGGATTGCTATCAGATGTTTACATTTATTTGGGAGCCATAAATCTTAAAGTAGGATTGTTTCAATTAAACAAACAGACAAACAAAAACCATATTTCATCATATATATTACAGTCATGATACATAAAAACCAAAATATTAGAAAGTTAAACTCACTAGTCAAATTATCGTCACCTTCTTCGGCTATCTGTTCTGTGTCGCTGTCATCAAACTTGATGTCTTTAAACCAGGAGGGCTCAGAGTGTCCTTCCACAGAGTTCACCGAGTCACTGTCTGGAGAGGGGGTCTCGGAAAAGTCTGTGCTCTGCAAGGATCAACACGGAATATCTTCAATACCTTCAATAGCAACCGCAGGGAGGCTGGCATGCTACAAATAAGGCCCAGCCAGATATTTTTACAAAGCTAACCACTGACTATGTTTATATAAAAATAAGCAAATTAGTAGAAACTAAGCTACAAACCAGCATCATGCTGACAATTCCACTCTTAAAACTGTAATTTTTATTATTCAGTAGGCTTAGGCAGTATGTTACGAACGCAACATAATATATAGAGCACATCGTGTTTCATCTCATCATTTAGTCCTGAGAGTGAACATGGCTTAGAATTTATTCCAACCCTGTACACCAACACTAGGACAAATCATGGAAAACAGCTTTTAGATTGTAACAAATAATGCCACGCCAATCTTTTGCGTTATTTGTCTTTCTAACCCCTGACTTTCCAATTTTAGTTCACAGAGGTGTTACTAAATATCATATATAACAAATTAACATAAGTCAAAAAGAAAAGTATATCTTTTTAGAAAGTTCTTTCAATAATTTCCACTTCCCTAAAGTTTAAAATAAAGAATAGTCACCATTTTACCATTGCTATACAATTTAATACTGCTAATGAGTCAACACCTATTGCGATGGTGACATTAAATTTTTTCAGTCATTTTGTTGTGTATGCTCCATCTCAGTCCTAAACACACAGACAGTAAATCTGAAACCCACTGAAGATAAATGACAAACTATACCACCACCAGGCCAAGCTTAAGAAAAGCCACACCAACTGAATAATGTTTGAATGCAACAGGTTTTTCACCACCACTACCTAACAAGTAAAAATGCTTTTTTGGGGGGGTTTTTTTGAACATTATCCAATTTTATTTTTATTTTTTATTAAAGTATAGTTGACATACATTATATGTGTGTCAGGTGTACAACACAGTGATTTGACACTTATTGTGACCACCACAGTAAGTCTAATAACCACATGTCACAGGACAAAGTTATTACAGGGTTGCTGACTATGTTCCCTGTGCTGTATATTCCATCCCTATGACTTATTTATTTTATAACTAGAAGTTTCTACCTCTTATTCCCTTTCACCTTTTTCATGCATCTCCCCACGCCCTTCCCCTCTGGCAACCCCCTGTTTGTTCTCTGTGTTTTAACTTTCCTCGTAGAAGGTAAACATGTTAGAGACATGCATCTTTGGGTAATTCAAGTACTTTTTATTCCCGCGGATGAAGAAAGACCAGGAGAAGTTCGCTAAGTGCTCATTAGCGAGCACTGAGAACTACCTGGAGTGGTCGGTACAGTGCATACTCGTCCCGGAAAAGCTGATCGTGATGGCTGACACAATCCAGCCAACGTCCATCGACCATCGCTTGTCCAATTGCTATGGCTTGTGCCCTGAATCAAGACCAACAAAAAGGAAAACTTTCACAAGTCAGTCGGGATAATTTTATAGGTACCAGATGACACACAAACTAAATTTTTTTCCTGTCCTCATCAGAGTTGGAATTTCAAATGGTCCTTGGATCGGTGAGGGATAAAACAGGCGAGACTTGAAGCTAAATTAAAAGATTTTCCAATAGTAAAGAACCTATTGGTAAGTCAGTCCTAACAAAACCTAATTTAATTCCAGCATTTTTGAAGTACTCAAGGCATGCATACCCCGTACTTAAAACAAATATTGAGGATAGCCAGGCTCCCACTCTCAAGGAGCTTATAGTCTTGATGAGAAGACAACACCAAATATTACAGACACAGGTATGAAATGCATGTATGTGTATATACATGAAACAGACACTTATTAATAACACATTACATTTGTATGGTATTTCACAATCTATAAAGCACTTCTGCCATATTATTTCATTTCATCCTCACAGCTTCTTCTCAAAAAACCATATATTTTCCTCATATTGGAACTGAGAGGTCCAAGTCTCAAAGAGATTAAGTAACTTGACTAAACAGACAAAGCTAAAAAGAGATACACTTAAAAGTGGAACGTAAGGCTTCACTGGGCAAAGCTGTTTCTCTTTCCTGCTAGTACTTGTTTCTTCCCATGAGAGGAGGAGTAACTAATCTAAACAAGTAGAAAAGCTAGGGAACGTGTTACCTTGAAAGGCAATAGGAGCTATCTCTCTCTTTTTCACAACTTATTTGTGAGATTTGAACAAATCTCACTAGGACACTCCAGGTGTGGCTTATGGGCCCAGTTCTCAGGACAGGTTGCAATGTCCAGATCAGGGGAGAGTGGCAGAAGCCACTGTGGTCTTAGGGTCTAGCTACATGCCCCGATCCCGCTTAACTAAAGAGCTCTGTGTTTTGGCAATTACTATACATTTCTGCTGTTAATAAATTAGGTAAACTGTGACCCCATTTGGCTCCTTGCATCTATTCTCTACTGGTTAAAACCCAGAAGGGAGGAGGGTTTGACTAATTAGCACCCCAAATACCAAATGCAGAAAACAAAAGCACCCTACTCACAAAGAAGCTGGCTCCTCTTATATGTACAATTATGTGTTCACATTAAAAATAAATTAATAAAGAATATCAGGGCCGGCCGAGTGGCGCAATGATTAAGAACTGGCTTGGGACGCCAGAGGGCCCCGGTTCGGATCCCACACATGAGGGCCAGTGACACTGCCCTCCACAGCTAAGATGCTGAACAGCAGCTCAACCTGGAGCTGGGCTGCCGTGAGTTGCCGGCGACGGCGTGGGCTGCAGTCCCTGTGGCAGTGTGTTGCCATGGGCTACCGTGTGTAGCCAGCAGCCAGCGTGAGCGGCCAGCAGCCGCTGTGAGTGGCCGTCCAGAAGCCGGCGACTGATCTGCCTTGCCTGGGAAGAGCACAATGATGGTGCTAACTTGGGCCAGTGAAGCAACATCCTCCACAACTAGACTGAAGAACAAAAGGACAGCAACTTGTCTGTTCCCTTTCCCCCAATTCCCCAACACTGTTCCCATCCTCCAATCCCCCAATAAAAATCTAAAAAAAAAAAAAAAAGAATATCAAAAAGTCTTTCCGAAGGTCACATTACCTTGTAGCAATGTGTCCATTTCGGATTAACCAGTTGACTAATTCCTTTCCTACGATGCAGTTGGGATGCGTTCTCAGCCAGTAGCGGTGATCCTGAAACTCCATTCCACTGCTGTGATGGCAGATTTTTTTCCACAGATCCTTTAACTGAACACTGTCCTGAAATTACAAGTAATTACTCCTGAGAAGGATGCTATATACTTTTTCAGATTCTTTCTTGTGACTTGTAGATTCATAAAAAGGATTCAATTCGGATGTCTGTCGTAGCTAACAAACACAATTTAATAGAAATGACACGTGCATGGGGAACAGCTTGAACTCAGCTCATCTAATTCCAAACCTAACTTTTTATCTTGAAAACCAACTATCCCAAATAATTTTTTTCAGTCAGTGGCACATATTGTCAGTCTCCTAGTTATCTAATTATAAAATTGCATACTCCTCTTTGGAGAGGGGATAAGAGGGAGAGACTGAACAGTCAACACTCATCTATAGTAAATGTTTCTAGTAGCCTTCACTCCACTAGATTCTCACCACTCTCACCTACACCCAATTGCCAGGTGAATTTTCTTCTTTTTTTCCCCCAGGTGAATTTTCCTAAAGAAAGGCCTTCTCCAAATCTTCCAACATTGCTCAGTGCCTACAGGTTCATATCTAAGCTTGTAAAGAGTGAATTCACCACCTTCCACCAGGTAGCTCCAAATAACTTTCCATTCTCATTGAGCACAGATTCCAACTTAATCTCTCTCCCAATTAATAAATCCTACTTCAGTCCATGAAAAACGCCACGCTTACACTCACAACTCTCCCTTTCCTCACACCTTTAAATAAGGTTTGCTTTCCTCATTGCTGACCCAAATCCATTCAATCCTTCAAGGTCTAGTCCAAGCCTTTCACTTCAAAACCTTTCCTAACTCTCTCACTACTAATGATCTTTATATTTTTTATAATTAAAGTATTACTTCTTTTACTATTAATGACCTGCCCATCAACCTCATTTCTAAGTTTTGAATTGTAAGCTTGAAGACAGAAGCCGTATCTTCTACTTCTTTGAGTCATTCTTAGGATTGAACACAGTATTTTCCATACAGATAAACTCAATAAGCAACTACTGGATTGTTGGAAAAGTCATGATGTCTTTTTTCTACGTTTTTCGTTGCAAAATGCATCATGACTTTTCCAACAACCCAATAGTTATTATCTTATATAAACATATAGTACTAACTGTCTGAAAAGTGTTCTATGGGTATGAGAAATATGTTTTAAAGTTTTAATAGCAATCTGGGACCTAACTAAAAGTTCAGCTCGCTTATTAGTAGGCACCTGAATTCTGATGTGCCAGATGAAAGGAGTCAAGAAAATATTAATGCAATATATGAGTATGGAATGCTTGACCAACTGCTCAAGTGATCCTAATAAAAACTTAAGCTAATTATTTCCTCTATTTTAATTCATATGCTAACTGGCTATTTCGTTTGTATGTATCGTTCAAAAATAAGTCAGTGAAATAAACATTCTTTATAATCAAAACTAGCAATGGGTTAAAGATACTGGACCAGTACCAGAAGAATTTTGCGTTCATCTTCAGTGGCCTCTGTTCTAACATATGTGCGGTTAGCCTGGGGACTGACAGATGTCTCATATGAAGGTACCATGGGAGAGCCAGATCTATCCAGCGACAGGTTAGTAATGCTGGCTGATCTGGAAACAAAAAACAAACAAACAAAAATGAAAACACAGTTGTCAATTATTCATCAATAAATAGAATTACAGTGAAAATTCATTTTTAAAAAAATGCTTATGTGTCAATGTTAAGGGTATGTTTAAAAGTAGTTATGACGTTATATATGATAACATTGGAAGAAGAGTACCCAGAAATTCTCTGTACTACATTTCCAAATTCTGGGTTAGTCTAAAATTACTTCAAAATAAGTTTAAAACAAAGTCGTTACAGAAAGATTACAGGAAAACAATTATAGACGTAGTTCATACAGCAATAATATTTCAAAGGAAATCGATAAAAACTCCTTGTTAAATGCTAAAAATTAGTATTTTTTCTAATTGACAAAGAATCACAGTCTAAATGCAGAAATAATCTTACACATCAGGGACAGGAAACCACGGCCCACCGGTCAAACAGTTTTTGCATAACCAGTGAACTAAGAATGTTTGTTTCAGTTGAACATCTCTAATGTTCTGATGACAGAAAACACTCCCTTTGAACCCCAACTAAGCAAAATATTATCCCCCCAAAAAAGAGTTCCTTTCTTCTCATTAGACCTACATTAAAAATATTGTCCTCAATTATATTTTGCATTTGATCAACAAAAAACTGGTGAAAATTTCTTTCCTCTCGTTGTGTGAGTACTTACATAATAGCCTTAATTTTGCCTCTTGCCAAAGTTACCAAATAAATGACTTGTGAGTAGAATATCAATAGCACCAAGCAAACTTTTATGTACAAAAAAATTTTAGCTAGAAATTTAGTTAGCTTCTACCTTGAAAAAATAAAACCCAGTTTTAGCCTCTATATAAGGATATAAAAGGCATAAGTATCTACAATGTGCTAGACACTATATACTCATTCAGTAGGGCTATATACGTATCTTCCCTCATTTAATCCTCACAGCATCCTATGGAGTCGATACTATTAGATCCATTCTACAGATGAGGAAATCAAGAATCAGAGATCAATAATTTGTCTAAGGTAATTCAGCTAATAAATAATAGAGCTGTCTGTCATTCATAACCAGATCTCAATTGAAAAACTATGCTCTCCTCAGCATGAAGATACTTTTACAATTTAAGAAATTACTCACAGACTGTAACAGCTTTAGCAAAAAGTCATTCTTAATGGTTCGTGAGAAACCACTGATATCAAATAAATAATAGTCTATAAGAAAATTTTTGAAATAAGCAGTTAATCATTTCTTGGCATACTCTTTTAGTGAAAAGTTGCCACTATATCTTAATTCAACTGATTAAAATCTCTTCCAATGTGTACATTACCCATTACACTTCTGTGTCTAACATTCTAACCATCCCTACACATATTCTGATATAGTGGCAACAAGAATAAAAAAAAAAAAGTTAGTCAATTTCATTATCCAATATTTTAATAAGTATCCTAGTGGTAAGAATGCTAAGGGGTGACTGGTTAGCTCAGTTGGTTAGACCACAGTGCTCATAACACCAAGGTTGCCGGTTCGATCCCCACATGGGCCACTGAGGTGCGCCCTCCACAACTAGATTGAAACAACTACTTGACTTGGAGCTGATGGGTCCTGGAAAAACACACTATTCCTCCCTCAAAGAAAACCCCTAAAGAATCAACAAAAAACTCCTAAAACTAATAAGGCATTACAGCAAGTTTGCAGGATACAAAGCAAATATACAAAAGTCAATCACTTTGCTGTATACCAGCAATGAACAAGTGAAATTTGAAATTAAAAACATATTACCATTTACATTACTACCCCAAAAATGAAATACTTAATTATAAATCTAACAAAGTACATATAAGATCTATATAAGGAAAAACTACAAAACTCTGATGAAAGAAATGAAAAAACTAAATAAATGGAGAGATGTTCCACGTTTATGGATAGAAAGACTCAATACTGCCAAGATGTCAATTCTTCCCAACATGATCTATAAATCAATGCAATCCCAATCAAAATCTCCAAAAGCTATTTTGTGGCTATTGACAAACTGATTCTAAAGTTTATATGGGTAGCCAAAAAACCCAGAATAGTCAACACAATATTGAAGGAGAAGAACAAAGTTACAGAACTGACACAACCCAACTTTAAGACTTACTATACAGATACAGTAACCAAGACAGTGTGGTACTGGTGAAAGAATACAAATAGGTCAACAGAACAGAATAGAGAGCCCAGAAATAGACCCCCATAAATACAGTCAACTGAATTTTGACAAAGGACCAATGGCAATACAATGGAGCAAAGATAGTCTTTTCANCTAGCAGTCATTGGTGACTCCCAGCAGCCCAGCTCCAGGTTGAGCTGTTGTTCAGCATCTTAGCTGTAGAGGGCAATGTCACTGGCCCTCATATGTGGGATCCAAACCAGGGCCCTCTGGCGTCCAAAGCCAGCTCTTAACCAACGAGCCACTCAGCTGGCCCGAAAAGATATTTTTTTAATTCCAATCCTGCTAGCCAACATGCTAGCTATTCTTTCCATATTTTAATGGTGTGAATCTGAAAAACATTCAAAATACTGGCCAAAAATGTTGTTGAACACTGAATATGGATAGACAGAGGACTATAGCATAATCTAGAAGCATCCCCTTCCTGTTGACATCAAATTATTAATTACTCTTTCAATGTTTGGTACAAACAGTAAACAAACTACAAATCCATGTGTTATATTAATAGTGGTTCTTACATTTGCCAAACACACTAGCTCTTTGTGTGTTTTCTACATAAAGAGGCTCATAGAGACTCTCAAGCCTGTGCTTTTAACAAGTAAATATGACCACTGCCTATAACTACCTCTTTAACATACTTCCAGTGCAAAATTGCCCTCTGTCCATGAAGACTGAGATCATCAAACGTCTTATTAACACCAAAGACGGCAATATCTATCACAGTCTCCTGATGTACCAATCTCATATCACCATAAAAGATGGAAATAAGGTTGTTTGAGTTTTTTTAGTTAACCAACACTGGTGCCCAGTCACCACTGATCCCTTTTCTAAATATCAAAGCACTTTCTGTTCATTAAATTTTTCTACAATATTTCCAACTTCCCATGTCACATCAAAAACCGATCTTTTAAAACATTTTAATGCATCTATCACTACAGTCATCTAAAGCGCCTTCTATTCTGCACCATTCTTCAAAGATATACTCTGGCCCCATGATCACAGCTCCAAATTCTTTCAATAATCTGGTATATAGTTTGCCTGAACCTAGCAACAGAGATAAGCAGACGCTGTCTACTCTTCATTATCTTGCACTTCACGTTCCTCTTAACCATGTATGTTCTTTCCTGGTTAAGATTATCTTGGCGGGGGAGGTTTAATCAATAGTATAGCAACTCCCCCAAATAACTGGACTAATTTTTCGTTAATCTTTGCATTACAATGTTTTAAATCTTTGCTAAGATATCCTTGGCATCTACTCCAACCTTCAGTGCAGTCTGGACTTCTGCAATCCTGTCGATTTTTTTTTTTTTAAGTACAAGCCCCTCTTTCAGATTCATCCTCATATGAAGGTTGCCTCTTACAACTTTTGTAGACAGTCTTCTTGAAGGGTTGACATCAGAAGGGTACCAGAAGAGTCATGATGGGTTTTTTCAACTGCAGGTGCTTTGCCTTTAATTTTCCTTAAAGACATAGTGTGAAGCTGTACTATAAAGAAGTCATTATTGGAGCCTCCTGTTCTAGTCCTCTCCCAACACCATGAAGTTAGGTTTCCTAAAGTAAATATCTGACCATGCTCAGCAGTCCATCTTTTGCTATGATGAATTCTATGATGACAGGTCACTCTCTTCATGATTTTCAAAACTTCGTAAAACTTTCCAAGAGGTGAAATCATCAGCAAGTCAAAAATGTATTTCACACTCTACTTTCAGCAAAATGAAATTGCCAACAGATGTGGCCAGAGAACTGATATTCTCCGTCATGACAGCTCCCAACTCCGACCCACATCTGTAATTTGTATCACAAAGGCATCATCTAATATCCTCCATGTGGCCACAGTCTACAGTTAGTTCTCACACAAGCGTCATTCACGTCTGCACCATTGTCCTTTCATACTCACCCAAATGTTCTCCACCATTTTTCCAATTTCTGCTTTGAGGACTCCCATAAAGATAAGTATCTTACTCATACTCAATACTACTCAAGTCTCATCTTTTCCCACACCCTCTCTAATTTTCTATGTTTAAATAAGATATACCTTTTTATTACTGTAATTCAAATGCCATTTTACCACTGATAATGGCTAACACTGACAATTATGAGAAATCTGTTATAGAAATGTGAATTTGTTTCCAATTTTTTAAGCATAGATACTTAAGGTCACAAGCTTCTCTTTTCTAATCATATTTTTAGGTTCAAAATAGGGAGTAGCAAAGAATTAGGCAAGCGTTTCTGATCCAAGGAGACAATTCAGCTTTAGAAAGCTACATGTTAAAAATTCAAACACTAANTTGTAAATTTCATATTTATCAGTCTCTTCCTTTCCTTTAAGTTTACCATGTTTGTATCACAAGACAGTGTGTTTGGTCTGTATATTTTTTGAACTTTACATAAATAGAATAATCACTAGAGATAAATGTGACTTTCTTTTCTAGTCTACATTATGTCCCTGAGATTCATACACATGGAATGTAGCTATAATTCATTCATTTTTGACTCCTGTTCAAATTCATTGGTTACATACTAATTCCTCACTCCCTTAAGGGGTAATTGATATAGTAACTGATCAGAAAGATGTGAGTTCAAATTCTAAGCTCTTTAACATGGCCAGATTTGGTATTATGCATATGAAAATAACTTAGCTAAAGAAAACAATCAGAAATTGATGAATCTAGGATTCTAACTCAAACAATTCTGAGTGACTTCCAAGAAACAGTAACATCCTCCACTACCAGTCAGTATAGCATATTTAGACATATGCAAAAACATGAAATGTTCCTTAGGAAAGAAAAAAAAATCTAATTTCATTTGCAAATATTATGACTACAAATCTTATAAACATTCTCCTTCTCTAAGAAGGCTACATTAGAGATTATTAATCTCAATAACTTCTACTGCCTATTCAACAAATATTATCAAGGTCATATATAGGTCATATGCTGTTCTTGGTGTCAGGGATAGAACAGTAACTAGGAGGATATAAAGTCTCTCCTCTTGTACAGCTTACATTTTAGTTAGTCAACATAATCTCTGTCCATAAACATAGTCTGCGACCCTTCTGGAGGCAAGTCAAAGAAAAAAGAGAAAATGGGGAATTTGCAGCAAATAATTCAAGAAGGTAAATGTTAACTAAAATCACTCATAGGTCACAGGACAACTAATATTTCCCAAATACAAATTATATTTCAGTGACAGTACCTTTGCCAGGCAAAGTCATCCTCTAAAAATATGTTACGACTGGCTTTTCTACTCCCAACAGGTGTTCGGGGTTCACTCGGATCAAGTATAGACACAGAGGAAGCAGAATCAGAAAGCGCACTCAAGTCTTCCCCAATGGAATTACTGTCTGTGGAATGAGCATAACTTAAGGCTATTTTTCTGCAGTATGTGCAAGCTCGAAGGTCCCCTAGGAAGGGAAAATAAATAATAATTAAGCAAAATGTAACAATAATATACTACTTACCAGAACATATTAAATCTTTGGGTTAATAGTTATTCTAATAACAGGGAAATGTCTTCAAATAAAGACTACCCAAAAAAAGAAAAAAACTTTTTTAAAGTTAAATAATTTTGTTACCTCAGTTACATATTTTAAAGACCATCATTATGATAAATTCATCCGAGTATACCAATTACCTCAAATATTTATAACAAGTTAAGAAAATGTCACGCAGTTGTATTAGAAACTTGATTATACTAGAAAACTATTTTTTCAAGGTTCTAAAAGTGAAATAAGAGACAGAAGATTAAAAAAAAAATTTAAATAGAGTAAATAATCCAACACAAAAAGGAAGGAGGAAAAATGTCCTTTGGGTCTTCATTATGGAGGAGCCGTGAGGAGTGGCCTCCAAAGGGGGAACTGTTTTAAAAACAAACTAACAAAATGGGCTTCTAGGCAATATGAAATATGGGAGGAAACTTGCATAAAGTTAGGATGAAAATGAAATATTTTTGTCATAATTACTATCAAATATAATTTGTTTCATTTTGTTTTTTCATTTTAAGACTACTATTACAAAGTACTCAGTTTTGTTAAATTATGCATGTATTTTAAGCAAAATTAACATTTTGCTGGGCTGGCCGAGTGGCGCGATGGTTAAGAACTGGCTTNAAAAAAACAAAAAACTCTTAAAACTTGACAATGAAAAAACAACCAAATTTTAAAACGAGAAAAAGACCTGGACAGACACTTCACCAAAGATGATATACAGATGGCAAAGAAGGATGTGAAAAGATCTGATTTTCAACATCATAGATCACTAGGGAATTGGAAATGAAAACAATGAGATATCACTGCACATCAATTAGAATGGCCAAAATCCAGAACACTGCAACACCAAATATTGACAAGGATGTGGAGCAACAGGAACTCTCATTGCTGGTGGGAAAGCAAACTGGTACAGCCACTCTGGGAGACAGTTTGGCAGTTTCATACAAAGCTAATCATAATAGTCAGCATATGATCGAGCAATCGCACTCATTGGAATTTACCCCAATGAACTGAATACATAACCTCACAAAAACCTGCACAAGTATGTTTAGGGAAGCCTTATTCATAATTTCCAAAACTTGGAAATAACCAAGATTTATTGGCTTAGTAGATGAATGGATAAATAAACTATATCCATTCTTGGAGTGCTATATCCAGACAATGGAATATTAATCAGAACTAAAAAGAAATGAACTATTAAGCTGTGAAAAGACATGAAGGCAATTTAAATGCATACTACTATGTGAAAGAAGTCAATCTGAAAAGGGTATACATACTGTATGATTCCAACTATATGACATACTGGAAAAGGAAAAACTATGGAGACAGTAGTAAGATCAGTGGTTGCCATGGGTTGGAGGTGGGAGGGATGAATAAGCAGAGTACAGAGGGTTTTTAGGACATTGAAACTATTCTGTACTATACTACAATAGTGGATACATGTCATTATACACTTGTCCAAGCCCATAGAATGTACAGCACCAGGAGTGAACCCTAATGCAAACTCTAGAATTTGAGTGGTAACAATAATGTCAATGTAGGTTTATCGACTGTAACAACTGTACCACAGTGGTGAGGGATGTTGACAGTGGGGGAGGTTGTGTGTGTTGGAGGGCAGGGTGTATATGGGAACTCCTGTACTTGCCACTCAATTTTGCAGTGAACCCAAAACTCTTCTACAAAATGAAGCTTACTAATTTAAAAAAAAAAAAAAGGAAAGGATGCTGATGTCTGCAACTTACTCACAGATGGTTCAGAAAAATAAAACAGTATGTATATTATATAAAAGTCAAGAAAATGGGTAAAATGTAAATTAGTGAACTTTAATGAAGAATATATGACATTTTATTTTATTATCTCTGCAACTTTTTGCAAGTTTGAAATATTTTCAAAATAATTTAAAATTTTTTTAAAACTCAGTCTCCTGTAACTTCCCATGCCACCAGGAGAGAATGACAAAGTCCTTACAATGAACTCTAGCAATGCTCTACTCCAGGCACACAGGACCTCTNATTAATGATTTCTTGGGCCTTTGGTCCCAAGCCATTATAAATACCTGCTAGACATTTAGCAGAAGAAAAAGCAATCCCAGTGAGTTAACCTAGCTTAGCCTCTACAGTCAAGCAGTCAGCAATGGGGCTCAACAGTCCAGTCTACAGACCGCATATCAAAGTCTCATGCAGCAGGTGATCAGAGAGGAATTTATAGCCCAGTCCTCAAAGAGTCTGACAGACTTCAGCACATCCAGGATGGTAATTTACCCACAGACTTTCCTTCAGCAATGTCCAAGAAGATTAAAACTGGGAAAGAATTGCTAGAACTTACCCCAATCCTACTCTAATTGTGTTACCTAGTCACCCCTACAGCTCCAAACTGGAAGGACTCACTGACACTTAACAGAGCAATGCTGAATCCATTCCTATCAACAATAAAACAAGCCCAAATCCCAGCTTTGTGGCCAGAAGGGAGTGTGCTCGCCAAAACTGTCATATATTATTTCCTTATTTTACAGCAAGATTACTACTGAAGTTTCTACCTATTCCTGGCTCCAGCAGCTATAATACCTAAGGATCAAATGGAGGTGGCTTGACAAAAAGAATGAACATCCCTATTTATTTAACCTCATTAACCCAATAACCTACGGCAAAGCAAGATGGAAACTAACCCACCCTACCTCTTTCTCAAACACTTGTTTGCTAGATTTGTTTTAGGTTTGTTTTAGGTGTGCTTTGTGTTGAGTTGCGTGGGGAAAAAAGAAAGAGGCTGGTATCTAAATGTAAATTGACAAATAACTTCCCAAGATAATTTAATTACAGAAATAATTATCTAAACGGCACTATGTTAGAAAACGTTATCTTTCTACAAATAGTAATGT